CAGAGGAGCAGTGGACGGACGTAAAGACATCCGGTGCGTGCCAGGGACAGGAGGAGGACGCTGACGCGAACTGCGACCACTAGCGCGAGCAGCACGAACAGGCGACGCGGGACGAGACGCAGGCTCACGACGCTCAGCAAGACCTCCAGTAGGACCAGTGTAAGGAGAGGGAGCAGGCAGTGGAGAGGAAGGCTCCAGTAGGGGCTGCGACTGGACAGGCGGTGGACCCTCTACTGGAGGAGAAAGACCAAGAACCTGCTGAAGGAGCGGAACGAAGTACGGCCGAGGCCGCGCGGCAGCTCCAGACTCAGCAGGGACAGCACCAGCACCCTCAGCGACAGCACCAGCGCCACCCACACCTCCAGCGGCAGGACCAACAGCAGCAGGCTCAGCACGAACGCCCTCAGCAGCTCCAGCTCCAGGAGGACCTGCAGGGCCAGCAGCTCCGGGACCGGCTGCACCCGCACCCTCGACGGTCGAAGAAGCTCCAGCTCCAGCTCCAGCAGCACCTCCAGACTCAGCAGCACGCCTCCAGCGGCGAGCGAACCACTCGCGCAGCTCCTGTGGAGAGAGGGGCTCCCGGCGAGACGCAGCAGCAGGAGAAACCCCAGGCTCAGCAGCTCCAGACGCAGCACCCCCAGGCTCAGCAGCTCCCAGCTCGGCACCCCCAGGCTCAGCAGCTCCCGACCCAGCACCCCCAGACCCAGCACCTCCAGGCACAGCACCCCCCGGCTCAGCACCCCCAGGCTCCGCACCCTCCGCAGTAGCACCCTCAAGCCCAGCACCCCCAGCAGTAGCACCCCCAGGCTCAGCACCCCCGCGCACAGCACCCCCAGAGTCAGCACCCCCAGGCTCAGCACCCGCAGCAGCACCAGAGTCACCAGTAACCTCGACCGGGTCAACGGCGTCTACCTGGGACACACCTGAGGGGGCAGGAACCTGAGGGGGGAGGGGGTCTACCGGGGGGGGAACCGGTACAAGGAAGTCCGGGGGAGGGGGGAGGGAAGGAGTGCGGTAGGGGAAGAGACGGTAGAAGGGGACTGACTCGTCGAACGTGACGTCCTGGGAGGACAGAACACGACGAGAGGAGGGGTGGTAAAACTGCCACCCTGGGGCGTCAGTGGGGAAGCCAAGGAAGACACAGGGAGCAGCACGAGGGGACAGCTTGTTCGCAGACAAGTCGCGGACAAACGCCCGAGATCCCCAGACACGGAACACAGACGCATCGCCAACCTTCCCCGTCCACAGCAAGGCTGGGGACATCGCTGGCCGAGAGACCCGGGGGTGAAGGTTGAGCTGATGCGCCGCGTACCTCACCGCAAACGGCCACAGAAAATGGGGGGCAGCCGCATGCATCATGGACGTACGAGCGACATCCATGACCATGCCAATGCGGCGCTCAGCAATCCCATTTTGCTGTGGTGAGTCCGGAAGCGTGAAGGTCTGGCGGATCCCCCGTGCACGACAGTAGTCTCGCAGAAGGCGAGAAGAGAACTCTCCGCCTCTGTCAGAGTGCAGACGCAGAACAGGAAAGTCCGAGCCGAAGCTCTTCCTGAGCTGGAGACGAGCCTCGCGGATCCAGTCGATCAGCACCTCAGTGACCGCACCCTTGCTGCGCAAGGGGAGGACTGTGGTGTAACGCGAGTAGTCGTCAACCACCAACAGGAAGTAGCGCTCGTAACCCTGCCCACGGACGGGGGCTGGGCCCCACACATCCATGTGAAGCGTCTGCAGGGGAGCCTCTGTCGGGGGGAAGTGGGAGGAGTGAGGAGTAGCCCGGAGGCGACCCTCGACACAGGGGACACAGGAAGGTCGTGGCCCGGAGGGGAGAGGAGGGAGAGACTGGGGAAGACCAGAGACAAGGACACGGGAAGCCATGCTCCGAAGACGGGGCAAGGAGGGGTGGCCAAGACGGTGGTGCCACAGGAGAGTCTCGTGAGACAGGAGGCGACAAGAACAGGGGGCAGACTCAGGACCTGACCGGGACGCAGCAGCAAGTACCTGACCCGACGCAGCCACCTGACCAGACGCAGGGACAGGAGGAGACTCAACGGTCAGGGTGTAGAGACTCGACCCCGGCCGACGTGAGAACGTGGCCAGGTGTCGGCCTGTGCGAGCCTCCGTGCAGTGGGTCACCCTCTGACGCGCAGGAGTGAACTGGTGAACACCCCCATCCTGCAGGTCCGCTCCACTCACCAAGTTCGTAGAGAACGAGGGAAGGTACAGACCCGACAGGGTGCCCGAAGGGGCAGCCGGACACGGGAGGACAGTGGAGAAGTGAGACAGGACAGGACCCCCAGAGGGGTCAGCAAGGGAGACCGCAACCGGCCTGGCGAGCGGCGAAAGGGTAGTGCGGTCTCGAAAGAAGGAGCGAGAAGCTCCGGAGTCAAGTGTGAAAGTGAGGGAGGACGAGGACGACTCAGTACCTGAGAGCGCAGTCTCACCAGTACCTGAGAGCGCAGACGCACTGGCACCTAGAGCAGCAGCCTCACAAGCACCTAGCGCAGCAGTACCAATGCCCGGGTCGGGCTGAAAACACCGGTAACCCTCATTCTCCTCACTATAATCCACAACATACATAGCAGTAAGGATAGCATCAAAATCAAGATCAAAGATCGCTACACCAGCCCTGAGAAGCTCATCCCAGCGAGGGATCTCACTAGCCCCAGGGAACTGCTGACGCCAAGCGTCCGTCAGGCGGCCAAAGCAGCGCTGGGTGGCGTGGGCACCCCCACACTGCTCACCCGCGCGGTCCCCGGAACGAAGAACGTAGGTGCAGGGACCAGTACCCCCACCCCTCTGACGCCCAGCGTACCACTCACGAAGCTGCTGAGGCGAAGGGATGTCCCGCGAGCGCTGCTGCTGCTGGCGGTGCGAGCGCTGGCCACCACCACCGCCGCTACGCTGCTGGGTACCACCCCGACCAGCTCCACCTCCTCCACCACTACTGCCTCCTCCGCTGCCGCCTCCACTGCCTCCACCTCCGCCGCCTCCACCTCCGCCGCTGCCTCCACCACCACCGCTGGCACCACCACCACCGTCTCCGCCGCTGCTGCCGCCACCACCACCACCACCCCCGCCACTAGCCCCGCCGCCACCCCCACTCCCTCCGCCGCCACCGCCGCCACCGCCACCGCCCCCTCCAGCTCCACCCGCGCCCTTGCCCCCCTTGCCCTTGCTGGAGCGACGTCTCCCACTAGGGGCAGACGCCGCGCCGACCGACTCAAGACCAAGCAGGTCGGCAGCAGCAGCAGAGGCAACAGAGGGCAGCAAGGGGGAAGGAGAGCACCCCTCAAAGATGGGGGTGCGAGGGTCACCACGAGAAGCACCTACAGCGACTATGCTCTTCTCCGCTGCGAGGAGGGCCTTCTCGAGGAGGTCGACGGTGAGGGTGGTGGGACAGACTGAGAGAAAGTGGTCCCTGACGACGCGAAGGGAGTCAGGGAGGCGTGCGACTACGTAGTAGAGAGCGATGTACATGGGGGGGGGGTTCTTAGCGCAGAACTCAGCAGGAAGGGCGGCGCGGTAGCGAGTGTCACTAGTGCGGAGGTGCGTAATGAGGTCAGCGACAGTGGGAAAGGCAGAGAGGTCAGGAAAGAGGTAGGGAAGCATGAGACGGCTCAGTGCAGCAGTGGCAGGGGAGGAGTAGCGCGCAACTACAGCGTCGTACAAGGTCTGAGCACTCTTGTACTGACTAAAGTGCGCACGCTCAGAGGTAGGGAGGTGGCGACGCACAGCAAGACGTGCAGCAGCATCGCGGGTGGCCCACTTAGAGCGGACAGCGGGATCAGCATCAGCAGCAGGGGCAGGAGAGGCGCCAGAGGTGAGGTCAAAGAGAGAAAGGTCGTCAGCCCTGTCGCACTGTAAGAACAGCTGCAGGTCGTCTAACCAGACCTCAAAATCAATGGCGCGACCCTCAGCGTCAAAAGCTAGGACACTAGGGGTAGCCATGGTGACGACAGCGACGCAGTGCAAGCAGTAGGGAAAGAGCTCGCAGTGTCAGTGGGACAGTGCTCACCAGGCAGGGCAGGTCGTGCAGTCAGCAGAAAGGCGGCTCAGCGACCGGGCGGCTCGGGTGCACAGCTGCTCGGCTCCCGGGCGGCTCGGCGGCTGGGCGGCTCGGGCGCAGGGCGGCTCGGCTCCCGGGCGGCTCGGCGGCTGGGCAGCTCGGGTGCAGGGCGGCTCGGCTCCCGGGCGGCTCGGCGGCTGGGCGGCTCGGGTGCAGGGCGGCTCGGCTCCCGGGCGGCTCGGCGGCAGGGCGGCTCTGGTCCCGGGCGGCTCGGCTGCTGGGGCGGCTCGGCCGGGAGATGCAGCGTCGGGCCGGCAGGTGCAGCGTCGGGCCGGCAGGTGCAGCGTCGGGCCGGCAGGTGCAGCGGCGGGCCGGCAGGTGCAAGTGGCGGGCCGTAAGAGGCGGCGGGCCGATGGGTGCAGCGGCGGGCCGGTAGGTGCAGCGGCGGGCCGGCAGGAGCAGCGGCGGGCCGGCAGGAGCAGCGACGGGCCGGCAGGGTGCAGCGGCGGGCCGTAGAGTGCAGCGGCGGGGCCGTCGGCAGCAGAGGCGGGGCCGCGTCAGAGGAGGCGGCGTGGCCGCGTCAGGGGAGGCGGCGGGGCCGCGTCAATGGAGGCGGCGGGGCCGCGTCAGGGGAGGCGGCGGAGTCGCGTCAGGGGAGGCGGCGGGGCCTCGTCAGGGGAGGCGGCGGGGCCGCGTCAGGGGAGGCGGCGGGGCCGCGTCAAGGGCGGCGGCGGGGCGCGCGTCGGTGCGCCTCGGGGCGCGCGTCTGTGGGCCCAGACAACGGTCCTAAGGTAGGACCCGCTCTGATACCATGTGAAAATAGGAAAACAGGAATGAATGAACTATGAATGAAAGCAGTACAAATATGAAACCCTAACTGGGTTGTACCCCCTATGGGATACCCCACTACAGCCTACACAGCAGTATAAGCTATAGATATGTTCTGACACGCCCCCCTCCTCTCTCCCCTTTTCTCAGAGTCGCGAGATGCATGGTGGCATCGGGGTGTGACGATGGGTCCTTCCGCAACTGGGAACTGCGCCCCTCTCACCGCCCTTGCTCGCTCATTCTGCTCCCCTCCTCTCCGTCTCCCCCTGTGCCCCCTCTCTCCCCACGTCCCAGACTGGCAAGCTGCATGGTGTCATCGGGGTGTGATGACGGCTCCTTCCGCATTTGGTATCTGCGCTTGCTGTGGGAGGCGGGCAAGGAGGGCGGCGCCTTCATAGCGCACATCAACCACCACCGCCAGCCCATCACGTCCATTGAGTGCTCCACACTCGCTACCTCCTATGCCGATAACCAGATCACGTGAGTGGGGAAGGGGCGCGTTCATAGCGCACTTCAACCACCACCGCCAGCCAAACACGTCCATCAAGTGGAGCCCACATGAGAGCTCCACGCTCGCTACCTCCTGCGCTGACAACCAGATCACGTAAGTGGTGTGGGAGCGGTGGCAGCGGTGGTGGGAGTGGTGGTGGAAGCGGTGGTGGGGGGAGTTGGGTTCATCAGATAGTGCCACTCGCTCCCTGTCTGTGCTTTGTTCCCAGCCAATCACGTCCATTGAGTGGAGGTCGCACGAGAGCTCCACGCTCGCTTCCTCTTGTGCCGACAACCGGATCACGTAAGTGGTGTCAGAGTGGTGGGTGGGAGAGTTGGGGTTACTAGCAAGTGCCACTTGCTCCCAGCCTGTGCTTACCACCACCGCCAGCCCGTCACGTCCATCGAGTGGAGCCCTCGTGAGAGCTCCACTCTTGCTACCTCCTGCGCGGAAAACCAGATCACGTGAGTGGTGGTGAGAGGTACCTTGGGACGACCAAGCGTCAGAGTGACTAGAGAGCACAACTGGACCCCGTCCTCCAAGCACAAGTCCCATGCATGATGTATTGCACAAGGAATGCAGCACTTTCTACGCAGGTTGGTAGTGCTCAGGGCTGTGTCTCCTTGGCGCAATGTAGCGATCCAGGATGCTTAGAGGATACGCGAGGTCAAGTCGAGTGCACGTCATTTGGTAAATGAGGCAGCCTACGAGCTCTATATACGGTCCACTCGGCTCTACGGACTTGTCCCATCCCTCCCTCCCTCTGGAGTTATGCCCTCTATCATGACGCCCTCCTCCTCAACCTCCGCTCCCACCCTCAGCATTTCACCTCCTCCCTCACAACTTTGGTCTAAGGCCAAACCTGACGCTGCTGGCCTTCGCGTTTGGGGCTGCAAGGCATTCGTCCTCATTCCTCCGCCCGACCTCTCCCGCGATGCTGGCAAGCTCGCCTCTCATGCCCTGGAGTGTGTCTACCTTGGGTACAACCGCGATTCCCCAAGCTACCTCTTCCTCTCGCTTTCACTTAACCTTTGCAATGCGCATCACTTTCTCTTCACAGGGAGTTCAACAAATGCCACTCGTTGGGAACAGGTGTGCGGTAGAGGCATCACTTTCTCTTCACAGGGAGTTCAACAAATGCCACTCGTTGGGAACAGGTGTGCGGTAGAGGCATCATTCCTTCAAAACTGCTAACTGCACCTACTGCTGCAACCAGTTTCCTCCTCTCTCTCTCCTTGATTGAACTCCTTTTGCTCCTCTTCTTCCCCCTCTCCCACCCCCCTCTGAGTGAGAGTACGACAGCTTATGCTGGCTTTGCTAGCTTGCCTGAATTTTATTATGCTATTACTAGCTTGGGTTTTATTTATCATGCATAGATATGCTTAATTTCCTAGGTTAGGTGCATTCCTATATGTTATTATAGTTATGGCATCGAACTTGGTTACGTGTACCGAACTCAAGCCTATTCCGTTTCCACCGAATCGCTTTCTACTGAGTGTGGGAAGGTTCTGTTCGGGACGCTTCGCAACCCTCAGAACATTCGCGTAACACCTGGGTTACCTGCCTTGTGTCGAGCCTATATATAGCCTCTTGTTGTACCCAGGTGGATCATTGAATAGAATTATCCTTCCTGAACCAGATTCTCACACTCTGCCACCCACTGCAGGGTCAGACAAACATCAAGGAGCTACACTGCCATCCGCACATCCTGGGATTCTGATTTCCACTGCTGCTGCTTCAACTACATCCTGGTCTTTTCTGTTCAACACCTCGTTCCGCTCCCCTCCTTCCCCTTCTCTCATAGGAGAGAGAGAGACATACGGGGGAGGGACACTGTAGCCGCATTCGACCACTTCACCGAGAGGTTGGCGCACCTAGGGCTAAGACACAACGCGCAGAAATGCGCAGCCTGGAGCGGGGAAGCAGCAGTGAAGGATCTGCTGCCGCATGGAGTTCCATTTTCCCAGGACGGCGTGCGGTTGCTGGGAAGCTTCGTAGGCCCTGACAGCGGGGCGTCACAGTTCTTGTCGAATCAGTTACGGGAAATGGCAAGTCCTTTGCCACTCCTTGAGAAAACCGACCCCCAGGTAGCATCGCTACTGCTCACCCGCTGTATCTCGAGGCGGGTGGCATACCTCACCAGAACGACACCGCTCCACCTCCTATCTCACGACACCTGGAGTCGGTGGGGCACTGATTTGCTTGCAACGCTACTCACAGCATGCGGCATCCGCGTCCCCACCTGCCGCACGGAACAAGCACGTGTCTGGGCGCAGGCCTCACTGCCGCCATCCTTGGGAGGGATAGGCATTACCGACCCCCTAATTGAGGGAGTTTACGGGTACGCGGCGAGCTTCACACAAGCCGCGCTTTTCCTGGCATCACTAGATAGCGCCACGGATGGCGCCTTGACGCAGGCTCGGGACCACATGCTGCTGCCTGCAGACGTTGCCACGCCTCTCCACGCATGGCTATCAGAGTGCGAAGCGGCTTTACCGGAGGACGCACGGGAGATCCTGGAGAAGGAGCGGCTGGAGCAATCAGACATTAGGCTCCAACACGCATTGGCACTGAGGGTACATGGAAGCAGATACGCCGTCCAGGTCACGGAGACTCGACGGATGGCGCTGAACCCTTTGTGCGGACACACACAACGGATGTACTCACTGACTGGCTACGGGACCGGGGATTGGCTGACTGCTATCCCCATTGCAGCCAACAGGAGGATAGGGCCCACACACTTCTCTAATGCCGTGCGATTCCGGCTGGCCCTCCCCTTCTCCACACCAAAGAAGTGTGACTGCGCCGATCGCACCGCCATCGCGGACCCCCGCCTCCCTAACCACCTACTCCGTTGCGGCACAGGCAAGCATCGCATCAACACCCATAATGAGCTGCGCGATGCCTGCATTAGCATGGCCCAGGACGCGGGGTTCATAGTCCACAGCGAGTCATCGGCGCACTGCCCCATTGAGGAACAGACGGCGGACTTCACGATGACGGACAGAAGCAGTGGGGCGGTCTATGTATGCGACGTCACCATTACTGACCCCATTAGCACTAGGGATCCAGAGGCGCTGAAAGGCAGGGGCTGGGCGGCAAGGGAGCAAGCGGACAAGAAGATCCAGCACTACGCCACCCTGCCGGAGACGGTGAAGTTCTTCCCACTTGCGGTGGACACCTACGGCTGCCCCTGCGCGGAGGTGCCGGTCTTCCTCAAGCTCATGGCGGACACTGCAGCTCGGCGCCACTTCAACGCCGACTCCAAATCATTTTATGCTGCAAAGTTCCTGCACCAGTTCAGGCAACGTTGGTCAGTGGCCCTCCAAAGGGCCCAATCTGTGGGCCTTTTGCTCAAACTTGGGGAGGCTGCGGCGGTAGAGAACCCGCCTGTGGGGGGGATTGGAGATGAGCTGCACCTTGGGGACTGCTTTGCAGTCATTGAGCCCCTAGTGGATTTGTAGATTTGTGGTGCTTGTGCCTTGCATGTTAGCTTTATATGCCTCGATGACCTGCATGCTTGTACTTGGCCGCCATATCAATACAAGGACCATTAGAGAGAGAGAGAGAGAGAGAGAGAGAGAGAGAGAGAGAGAGAGAGAGAGAGAGAGAGAGAGAGAGAGAGAGAGAGAGAGGCCCTAGGAGCTAGCCCTTAGCCTCTCCAGCACTCTTCAGCCTAGTATATAGTGCTCCTCTGCAGCTAGTTCTCTTCATTGTTCGGTTTTCTTCTCAGTTGTTTCTCCTAACCGAGCGAGAGAGAGAGGAGAGAGAGAGAGAGGCCCTAGGAGCTAGCCCTTAGCCTCTCCAGCACTCTTCAGCCTAGTATATAGTGCTCCTCTGCAGCTAGTTCTCTTCATTGTTCGGTTTTCTTCTCAGTTGTTTCTCCTAACCGAGCGGCTGAGAGAGGAGAGAGAGAGAGAGGCCCTAGGAGCTAGCCCTTAGCCTCTCCAGCACTCTTCAGCCTAGTATATAGTGCTCCTCTGCAGCTAGTTCTCTTCATTGTTCGGTTTTCTTCTCAGTTGTTTCTCCTAACCGAGCGAGAGAGAGAGGAGAGAGAGAGAGAGGCCCTAGGAGCTAGCCCTTAGCCTCTCCAGCACTCTTCAGCCTAGTATATAGTGCTCCTCTGCAGCTAGTTCTCTTCATTGTTCGGTTTTCTTCTCAGTTGTTTCTCCTAACCGAGCGGCTGAGAGAGGAGAGAGAGAGAGAGGCCCTAGGAGCTAGCCCTTAGCCTCTCCAGCACTCTTCAGCCTAGTATATAGTGCTCCTCTGCAGCTAGTTCTCTTCATTGTTCGGTTTTCTTCTCAGTTGTTTCTCCTAACCGAGCGGCTCGCGCCGGCCGCCTTCGGCGGCCGACGCTCGACAGCGCGGCCTTCGGCCGCGCGTGGGGGAACGACAAGCACACAACACACAGAGTTACTAACAAGAGGCATACAAGGATGGCAAGCCCTACAGCGGCCTAGCCGCGCAAACCACTAATGGCAGAGCCGGAGCCCGCGCCTACATGCGGTGAGCTCCAAGGGCGTGAAGAACGCCCGTCAGGGAGCGCCACAGCTCCCGGACCACAAGCGTGCTTGCGCCGATCGCAGCGGCTCCAGACCCAGCACGCAAATGGCGCCGCAAGCCGCGCACAGCCTCATCAAGCGGCCCCGCCGCCGCAACGCCTCCCTCGGCGGGCGCAGCCAGCACGGGCGCCAGCAGCCCTGCAAGCTGATCGGCGGCGTCCAGACAAGAGTCGCGGTGACGATCCAGGAACAACTCAGGGGGGGCCGCGGGGAGGGACGAGTGAGCAAGAACCTGTATCAAGAGCAGAGCGTGAAAGCTCTCTGCGAGACGGAAGAGCTGGCCGAGGGTCGCCTCCGGAACCCGGGCCTGAGGGGGTTGCAGCGCCTGCGCAAGGAACTGGAACGGCTCCACTACGGCAGGAGAAGCCGGGCCAACTGCCGTCACCGCTCCGCCTCCCACAGCCACAAATTCTACTCCCGCCACGGGCGGGACTGGCGGCAGATGCAACCGCGACCCTGGAACGGGAGCAGTCGCAGCAGCAGCGGGAAGCGATGAGGCCGGAACACGGGATTGGACGAGTGCAGCAGGGGGCGGAACCTCATGAGGCGCCGCTTGACGCTGGGCGGCATGGGCGACGGCAACGTGCGAGCTGCCTTGTGTCTGAGCAGCCCTCTCTTCACGCATCGCGGTCGTTACCGCACGTTGCAGATCCGCCATCCTCACGGGCGGATCATACGACCCTCCCCCATTGCGACCACGAGAACCCCACCAGCCGCCACTGACCCGATTGCTGATTGCGCCGGGGAGAATTCCGCCGGCGCCGGGAGGACGCCCGATCCTGTTGGGGCGCTGGAGAATGAGGGCGAGATAGGCGACGGTCCGGCGAGGGAGGACGTGACTGCGACGTTGGTTGCGTCGGCTGAGCCACGGGAGGCGCAACGGGAGCAGACGGGTCCAATGCAGGG